ATTTGTCTCTCAGCTGCTTCCCTCGCCTGGCAGGCGCTATGGGACAACACAGTTGTTACCGGAATTAACAACAGTCCTGAGACACTGTAACATACAATAACTTGTACTCACGATTACCACTCTCATTACATTCATTTCCCCGGTCACAACCTCCTTGCTGAAGAACACCTTGCTCGCTCCCACGTGCGTCGACTAGGTGTGGCCGTATGGTGTCCAGGACATGTGGCCAAGCGTGGCCCAAGGTGGTGGCCCTGAGGGGTAGCCACGGAGTAGCGTGGGGCATCACAGCGCCTCACGCAGGATGAGCTGGCGCCCGGGGTGGCCAGGGTGGCCCACAGGAGGGCGGCCAGGGTGTGGCCATCACGTGGCTCCACGGTTTCTTGCCAAAGAGCGGTGCGCCGCGCACATGGCAGACACAGCAAGGTGGAATTTCAAAGTCCAACAGGGGCCTGTAATCTCACCACAATTACACGGGGAGGCCCTGCCCTATTCCACCAATTGTCCGGCAACATAGACAGGATAACTGATAACCCTCAGATGTGAGCAAAACATCTGATACACCACGAGGCTTGCCAAGTGCCTCTTGGGTAAACACTGTCTCTAGTTATTACACAGTTCCTTCCTTACTCCTTGGCCTCAATTCATGCAAATTGGGTCCCCGACACGATCCACGATGGCAGGAATATTGTGTGCGATGAGTAATAAGGATGACACAGCGATTAATGGTGGTGGGGGTGGTATACACGCCACCCCACCTGGGGACACTTTGTTCTCTGCTCACCGCCCTTAGACTGAAGATTTTTTTGGCGGGCCAGAGAAACTCCAAATGCCCGTCCCCTCCCCCCCCCTCCCACCTTGTCTTGACCAATCAGCACAAAGCCGGCACAGCATATTGTGCCGCTTCCAATCACCGCGTTTCGCGCCTAAACACCCCCACGAGGCTGAGGTGCCTAGTCGAATCACAGACGCCCTCACCATGAGGCGTCCCATGATGTCACAAGAAGGGGGAGGCCAAGGAGTGTGACGTCACACCTCACAGGGTTATCTTGAGATGTAGAGAAGATTTCGGGCCTTTAGTGTCCCCGCGGCCCAGTCTTTGACCAGGCCTTCACCCCAAGGAAGCAGTCCGTGACAGCTGACTTACACCCAGGTTCCTATTTTACTGCTAGGTAACAGGAGCATAGGGTGAAAGAAACTCTGCCTATTGTTTCTCTCCGGCGCCCGGGATCGAACCCGGGACGATAGGATCATAAGTCCAGCGTGCTGTCCGCTCGGCCGACCGGCTCCCTCGGTCGGGGGAGCCGGTGGGTGGGGAAGGCGACGTTCACCCCTGTCCCCCCTCCTCTAAAACCGTTGGCGAGTGAAGTACCCAGCTACACCTCACTCACTCTCAAATCCCATTTCATAGAAAACATGATAAATTCTGTAACTCTCTCTACAGAGCAGTCACAGACTCCTGGCTAGTCTTAAACGATGGTCCTTAGCATAAGCTTTCATCCAACACCACACAAGGGCATGTAGTTTGAAAACTTCTTGTCTAGAGTTCCTAGAGCGACTCTAGCCTAATCTAACAAACTAGAAAAACTAGCTGAGGGAATTTTCATTCCCTCACATAAATGATCTCTCAGAGGGAATGGACCTGTTCCTCTCAATGTATGCTGCTGATGAAAAAAATTATGAGGAGGATGTAGACTGAGAAAAATAGTATGAGGCTACAAGATGAACTAAACAAACTGAAGGAATGGTCCAACAAATGGCTACTAAAGTTCAACCCAAGTAAATGTAACGTAATGAAACTTGGCGGAGGAAATAGGAGGCCAGACACTGGATACTGAATGGGAGATGAAGTCCTTCACAAAACGGACAGAGAGAAAGATCTAGGTGTTGATATCACACCAAACTTGTCTCCTGAAGCCCATATCAAAAGAATAACATCGGCGGCGTTTGCGAGGCTGGCTAACATCAGAACTACCTTCAGAAATCTGTGTAAAGAACCTTTCAGAACCTTGTATACTACGTATGTAAGACCAATCCTGGAGTATGCGGCCCCAGCATGGAGCCCGAACCATGTCAAGTACAAGACGAAGCTAGAAAAAGTTCAGCGGTATGCCACTAGGCTAGTCCCAGAACTAAGAGGCATGAGTTACCAGGAAAGGAGTTACCAGGAAAGGCTGAGAGAACTGCACCTCACGTCGCTGGAAGATAGAAGAGCTCGGAAAGACATGATCACCATATACCAGGTACCCAAAATACTAATCTAACAAACCATACTAACAAAAATTCCTGAACATGATAGGGACGATTGCGTCAGTCACCACATGGTGACTGAAAGTAGACACCCTGTGGTGGCTGACTTTCAGCCACTGTGGCTGAATAGTCACCACGCGGTGACTATTCCTTTGCCTAGCACATGATAGAAACTCCGTCATCAATCTACTCTGATTTGCGTTTGATTATCTTAGATAGATAGATGTTCATAGAAATCGAGAAGAATAAATTCGCATATAAATCAGCATTTACCCCCTTTCATTGGTAAATTTCCACCAAAAATGTGTGCCGTGACTATCAGCTGATGAAAGGTAGGGGGGTGGGGGGGCGCTCCGCGTCACGCAGTTGTGGCCGAGCAGCTGGCGAGATAGGCTGACGCATCGCCATGCTCTCCAAATAAGCGCCATATTTGTGCTTATAGCCGCAGAATTGACTCATTCGGAGGGGCAAATAGTGCAGCAGAGTCGGGACATTGAACGAATTACCACATATCAAGCTGTTGCATTCTTTAAGGACGTATCCCGGTTGTATAATATTTATATTTCTTTGTTGTGAGCTAGTAACATTGAAATTTCAACCGTGTTATGAGGCACAATTAATAACAAAACCCAGTTTACGTTGGCGACGTGAGAGAGAGAGTTCTTCCGGTTCCAACACATTGGAGTTCAGGGCTGAGAACAGTACGCAGTGACCCGGAGTCAATATTTACTGCATAACTCACCTGATGACTGCTCTCGTGTTACTGCTGGACTAGGAGGAAATCTTCAGTCCAGCTAAGCTGAAAGTTTATAACTAATCAGTTGTAGTGTAGTCTACTAACTCTTTAACCCTGATTTATCTATAATATTATTATTTAAATGTATTCAATATTTTCATGCAATACGTCGATTAACATTAAAGAATTTACCCCCCCCCCCAAAACAAAACAAAAATTGTTTAGGGAATCACTCCACATTATAAAAAAGTTTTTACAGTCCACTTCTCTAAGATTATTTTGAATAAATTATTTGTTCAAATATTACATGACATTAAATAGTGAAGAAAAAATCTCCCACAACAAAGAAGATTTATTTATCAAGGGTGGTACACGCACAAGGGGACACAGGTGGAAGCTGAGTACTCAGATGAGTCACTGAGACATTAGAAAAAACATTTTCAGTGTCAGAGTAGTTAGTAAATGGAATGCACTAGGAAGTGATTTGGTGGAGGCTGACTCCATACACAGTTTCAAATGTAGATATGATAGAGGTAGAGAAGCCCAGGAATCTGTACACCAGTAGATTGACGGTTGAGAGGCGGGACCAAAGGGCCAAAGCTCAACCCTCGCAAGCACAATTAGGTGAGTACAACTAGATGAGTACACGACCACAACGTATCAACCAGACACTCAAGGATCACTAACAAGGACAACGTACCAACCAGACACTCAAGGAACACTAACAAGGACAACGTACCAACCAGACACTCAAGGAACACTAACAAGGACAACGTACCAACCAGACACTCAAGTAACACTAACAAGGACAACGTACCAACCAGACACTCAAGGAACGCTAACAAGGACAACGTACCAACCACTCAAGGATCACTAACAAGGACAACGTACCAACCAGACACTCAAGGAACACTAACAAGGACAACGTACCAACCAGACACTCAAGGAACACTAACAAGGACAACGTACCAACCAGACACTCAAGGAACACTAACAAGGACAACGTACCAACCACTCAAGGATCACTAACAAGGACAACGTACCAACCAGACACTCAAGGATCACTAACAAGGACAACATACCAACCAGACACTCAAGGAACACTAACAAGGACAACGTACCACCCAGACACTCAAGGAACACTAACAAGGACAACGTACCAACCAGACACTCAAGGAACACTAACAAGGACAACGTACCAACCAGACACTCAAGGAACACTAACAAGGACAACGTACCAACCAGACACTCAAGGAACACTAACAAGGACAACGTACCAACCAGACACTCAAGGAACACTAACAAGGACAACGTACCAACCACTCAAGGATCACTAACAAGGACAACGTACCAACCAGACACTCAAGGATCACTAACAAGGACAACATACCAACCAGACACTCAAGGAACACTAACAAGGACAACGTACCACCCAGACACTCAAGGAACACTAACAAGGACAACGTACCAACCAGACCCTCAAGGAACACTAACAAGGACAACGTACCAACCAGACACTCAAGGAACACTAACAAGAACAACGTACCAACCACTCAAGGAACACTAACAAGGACAACGTACCAACCAGACACTCAAGGAACACTAACAAGGACAACGTACCAACCAGACATTCAAGGAACACTAACAAGGACAACGTACCAACCAGACACTCAAGGAACACTAACAAGGACAACGTACCAACCACTCAAGGATCACTAACAAGGACAACGTACCAACCAGACACTCAAGGATCACTAACAAGGACAACATACCAACCAGACACTCAAGGAACACTAACAAGGACAACGTACCACCCAGACACTCAAGGAACACTAGCAAGGACAACGTACCAACCAGACACTCAAGGAACACTAACAAGGACAACGTACCAACCAGACACTCAAGTAACACTAACAAGGACAACGTACCAACCAGACACTCAAGGAACACTAACAAGGACAACGTACCAACCACTCAAGGATCACTAACAAGGACAACATACAAACAGTATACTTAC